TTTTTGAGGTAAAATACCTTTTGAGTTATTTAAGGTAATCTTAAACCAAAATTTGGCATTTGGAGAGATTCTACTTGCCTTATTATGCTTTACCTGGACTTACATGCAGATTTTTGTTTTGCTTTTGATACTGGGATCAGTTGTGTAAACAAGGAAGAGACTAGTTAAAATAATAGCAGTTTTCTAAGATGCTTTATAAATTGAGGCCTTAAAACTTTTCCAAGAACATAGTAACACTCGGTGCAAAAGAGGATGAAGAGATCGTTCCACTGAATTTGTACTTCCCCACTGGCATCATAATAGTACTTTTGCACTGTGGTTCAATAGCATTTGCACTCTTAATCTTACGCTTTTTAGTGGACAGATTTATAGATATTTATATTTATAGATATTTTATGCAAATGCTAATATGGTCTGTGCTGTGTCTTAAGTTTTGTTTGACTCATTCGATGGGGTTACCTGTTCTTAAATTTTTAAAACAGCCAATATCAAGACTGTTGGCATCTTGTCTGAAAGGCAAAATGATAGGCTTATAAATAAACTAATGTATGGCATTGGTCTCTTAGCTGAGTGAAGTGTGTATACCGAAAGAGAAAACCTACAAAGCATTTGGAGAGAATCACACAGTTTGCCATAAGTTACTTAGGAAACTTCTATGCCATTAGTTATTCAAAAGATGGATAAAGTTTTAACCACAAGTAAGTAGCTGACCTACAATGAAATAAAGGCAAATGAAACACATTCCCCTTAATGTAATTAGTAATCGTAATTGATATGCTTCATCTCCTCAATATTGCTGTCAGGGGACAAGGGATCCATTTACAAAGTTGCATCCGTTCAGACATCTGACATAAACAGACCCTTTTTGTTTGGAGTTTTGTTTGTGTCATAAGGAGCTGAGCTGTTATTTTTGTCTTAAAAGATATCACTACCTTCAATTTTCGTAGGATTGACAAGATATGTTTTCTTAAATTAAACCATTTATTCAAAAAAAGCAACATAGGGTTTTGTTATAGTTTTCTTCCTTCGATATGTGAATTAACCTAAGAAAAAATTGGAAGGTTGAGTCTTTTTCATTTCCTTGTAATAGGTGGGAGTTAAAAATATGAGATTTGATTGGCTACAAAGCCTTACTATATTTATGGTTTTCTTGAATTACCTTATTTTTTATTTGTACTGAAATGGAAGTGATGTTTCTTACACTGTTCTTTTTTTTATCAGAATTAGAAAGTTTGGCATGTTGCTCTTAAATGCCATTAATGATCACATTGTAGTAAGTGAAACAGCTTTGTAGGAATGAAACTGGCAATAATGCACTCCTCTTCCCCTCTCCCTTCTTCCTAGTTTGTTTTCATAGGCTCTAGAGACATTCCGAAGAAGCTTCTGTAGTGCTTTTTGGCAGACTATGCACGTGTGCTCCCAAGTCGCTGGAATTTTTTCTGCAGTTCACACATGAGAAAAACTGAAGATATAGCCCAAGTTTTCATAGAATAGACCTTTGAAATTAAAATCCTTTGCTGACAATACCTAACATATTTTGTTGAACAAATTGTGGATCTTTGCAACACTAATGAGATTAAATCTTCCCCTTTCCATCTTATTCTTTCTTTACTTGGCAGCATGGTGCTGGTAGTTGTTAAAGTTCTGCCATCCAGAAGTACTAGTGAGTTTTTGGTTTGTAAAATACAGGCAAGTGCACTTCATATCCTTTTAAATATCCAGTGTTTTACTTTGCTAAATGCTTTCAATCTTTCTTGAAGGGTAATATAATACCAAATACTTATAATAAAGTAGACATTATAATAGTACAATTCCCACTTTGCTTGTTATGCTCAAGTCCTGTTGAGCGTATCTTTGACATGCTGTTATTTAGATAACGCACTTACAAGTAAAAGTTTTACTGTATTTGGTAAATGGAAAGTAAGGTACTTTATTTTTTGGCAAGAATTTAGCTCAAATAAACATTCATTTTAAAATCCATTTGTAACTGATCCTGAAATACTCAAGAAAAAATTCATGTTAACTCCTGTGACAGTTTGCCTTTTCTAAGGAGCTGCTGAATTAGTCTGAATAATGTTCTGTTTAATTGATCAAATTATTTTCAATACATTCATTGTATAAGTCGTTAAAAAAAAGGAACTTAAAAAAAAACCTACTATTTTGGAAGGAAAGGGATGGCTTGCCTTTGCTGTTAGTATGTGCAGGGTTAAGAAAATAAAATACCTTCTTTTTTATGTATGCACATAACATTATTAGATTTTGGTACTAGTGCGTCTGCTAAGTAATGTCAGCCATAGCTTCTAATTCTAATTCTGTGAGCAAAATTGCATTGCTCTGTTATCTACAACCAAGGACATTCAAGAGGCTTAGGGAGTCTGTATATGAGGAAATTCCTGTTATGGTTGTTCTCTGGCTCATCCGAGGTCCTAACTGAAGGAACTGAGGCCATATGTTTAGTCAAGAGATATCTAATATGGGCTGGGGAGATAGCAAAGTCACCTGGATCTCTATGAAATATGAAAAAGGTCAGGAGGCCAACTGATCTGCAATCTGCAGTGCATATGCACATTTAAAGGAAGCCCACATCCCTCCTTTTTCATTTTACCTTAAGCTATTCTACAGCAGTGACTTTTAAGACCACAGAGTCAAACTGTTGTGACAGTAGTTTTTTGCTTTTGTGATACTCATACTTCGATATGCAAAAGATATGCTGCACTTTAAACACACACAAAATCAAAACAAAAAATAGTAAAATAGCTTAATGCCTGTACCTGAAATCCTTAGAATCATTACATTGTAGAATTAAAAGATAGGAAAAAAAAATCAGCCTTTAATTTTATAGAAGAGGAAGAAAAGGACTTCTTAGGACCACAAAATTATTGGATAAATTATAGGTCAGAGTCCAAAACATGGACCATAGAGTTCAGAGTTCTTTTTTTTTTTTTTAATCTTATTATACTATCTTTAAAGAAAAGATAGTTGGCTTTCTGTATTGTTCTTTGGTTGTTATATACTTGTAACTAAATATTTGACTATAAAGATATTTTTACAGTGAAATATAACTCTTCTTTAGCCTCTAGTTCTTATTTCTAAAATTATATTGGATTTTATCATTCAAAATTTATAGATTTTTTTAAAAGAATGTAGTAATTCTTTCCTTCGTGTAAGGTAAATTTGAATTACGTTAAAGAAATCCAACATGATTGATCACATATATTCAAGATGTTGACAGAATTTATAATTTTAGTACAACAATGACAATGGACATAAATTCCTACCTAGGTTTTAGTCCGTTGGCAATAAAAATGTATCTTGATAGAAAGGAGCAGAAAGGCTGTCCACTATGTGTAAGACTTCTATCTATTCTACCTGGGATTACAATTTACTGTTTTCATCCATGATAACATCATGTTTCTTGTGCTCCTTCGCCTTTCATGCACCTTGCCAAGGCATTTCGCCTAAGTACTATCCTCGACACACAATAATGAACTAATTTTTTAAAGTTGATTTCTAGAACAACTTTAGTAGAACCTGACGTTTTGTTATTTATTTATTTATTTATTTATTTATTTATTTATTTATGTTTTTAGTTGGATGGCTTTCTTGTAATTAAGCTCATCTGTCTAGTTTATTAAATTCAAAATATTGGTACAAAATACAAATTATTGAACCTGTTAATTCAAAAAATAGACTGAACTGTTTGTGAAACTAAATGTAGTGTGGTCAAGCCTTTCGTTGCCTTAGCCATGGATGCTATTAGATACTTGAACATCGTTGGGAGTTTATATATTGGGAAATATAGTAATTGTTTGTATTTTAGGTGTATATAATCAATTTCTCGACTATGGTAAGGTTCACCATTCATCTGTTTACTGTGACTCTGTAGAAAGCTTAAGATCTGTTCACATACAGAGACAGTAAGGTTCACTTCTCTTTGTTATTTATTTTTTTTAAAGCCCTAGACTCTTTTTAAAGTAGGCAATGTGTCGTGGTACATTTACACAGAGCTTTATTTAGCGTTAGTGTTGTGGCAGAAATCACATTTCCAAGAAGAACTGAGCTGAAACCACTAAACCTAACCTTAATTATCACTTCTGGTGAATTAATGTTTTAAAGACAGAATAAAAGCTTATTTTCAGGAATTTAGTGATGGTTGTAATGAACACTAACACTGTGTACAAACAACCAAACTATTACAGCTGACTTGCATTCCTCTGACAAGTTAACTTTTCTCTGATTATATTTATAAATAAAATTTGTCCTTGCTCCCAAACCTCTACTTCAGCCTTCTGATTGAGATAGTCATTGGGAAAAATTCTTTGTTGCATTTTTTTTTTACCTGCATAAATCTTTATTTTCCTTCTTTCAGATGCGTCTACATCCATACATTACTGTGTTTGGCTGAATTCCACGCTAATAAGATGCTCCATTTTGACCAAACCGATGACCTTGCTACTCCGAAACCTGCTGGAGCCAGCCCTTGGCCGTGGGGTGTCAGCCAATCACTACTTCTTCCACTTGTTGTGCTTTTTATTTTTAAGTTTATTTTCCTCATTTAAGGAACATCAGTATGCAGATAAATAAATTTGTAGAAGAAACAGTATTAGTACAGATGTGCTCTGCGAATGGGTGTCTAAACCATGAATTCCATTCTCAAGGAGGTGATACCTGTTAGACAGTATTGAAGGGATTATGAGAAGAATCCAAAGCAGTATTTCAAACAGGAATCTTAAGACTTTGGCTGCGTATGAACAAAAGGAAATTAGGTCTCTTATATCTTTGTGACTATCGTATTAAAGGCTGACTTTAAGCGAAAATCTAAGTTGATCAATACATTTTACGTGTCATGTGATGATAACTTCTTCAGGCCAGACATATAGTTGTGTTAGAGGAAGAGGATATTCTTTTGTTCCTTCTGTGTGTGTCCTTTGAATATCATTGTGTGTGTTCATGTTTTCACCAAAATATACATATTTAAAGATTTGAACAATGTTGTCTGTGAAACAAATTTGAGTTTGATTTTGTACTTACATAGGCACTGTAATGGATTGATTTTTTACCTTGGATCTTGAAATACTGACCAAAGTATCTATACAAATGTTCAAGGTTTGCTTGTTTTGATAAAGTTCTTAACAGAATTTCATGTTTCTCAGATTCACTGAAACCACTGTAGTCACTTTCTGAAGGGGAAATGCACAGTTCCCTGTTTTGTACATGGCATTTATTTGACATTTTATGTCAAATAAATTTGATTATTTCTAAGAATTCAGCATATTACACATTATTCGGTGATCAAATGACATGATTTCAGTCATATAAGTGACATTTTAGATAAGTCAGGGAATCCTTTGGATGGCCCCTCTACTTCCCTTTGTCTGTATATTATGTCTCTGTTTATTATGTTGTATATATTTATGTGCTTTACACAAGTATTCTATATGTATATGTTTGATTATTTTATAATACATTTACCATACCATCTGCCCTATTAAAATTCTCTAAGTTTCAAAATCCTAAAAATGCCGAATTCTCAAGTTTGTTTTGTTTTGTGAACCATTGTCAATAAAATGATCCTTTCAGGAAAAAAAAAATGGAGTGACATTATACAGTATAAGATGATAGGAAATGCACTGTAACACATGCAAATCCCTAATGTACACTTGAGGATTTTTATTCTATTAGCTGTTTATTTAATTTTGCAAAAGGGAAATTTACTGAAGTATCCTTGAGGCTACAGTGAAATTCCTGAACAAAACTTAATTATCCTCAATCTCCCATTCTGTTTGGTGTTTAAGATCAGTGTAAGAGGCTGGTAAAGGAACCCTTACCATTTTTTCTGCTACTTGGGAATGCTTCTTTCTCGGCCTCAAGTAGTAAACTTCCTTTGATACACTTAAAATGCAAATTTGGTAACAAATCACAGCAATTCAAAAATAAGTAATAGAGTAAAGTCCAGAATTGGGTTAATTGAATATGCAATCAGTGCATAAAGTGATACTTAGGAATACCCTCACACAGAAGAAGGGTAAAAGTCAACATTTTGGAAATTCAGGTTGTATTATACTCTTAGGGCATGAAATAAGGTCTTATCTCTCTGCTACAACTAGAAAGCTATGAAATAGAGGATTACAGAATGTCGCCATAGGAAAAGTAAATGTTGTCTTGTGCAAATTTTGTTTCATCTGTGTTTGTGTGTTCTTGTTACTGTCTTTATAAAAGATATATCTTAGTGTAGAAGAAATTGGGAGGGTTTGAGACCCATACCCTTGACTGTTCAGGGTGGGAAATTATGGCCACCTACTATTTTTATCAGAAAAAAATCATAGTAAATCAAAGCAATGTATTGCTAGTATTCTTGGGAAATGTAGTATACTATTGAGTTGAACAGAATGGTCAAGAGCATGGTTATTGTAGTAGCATTTAAAAATAGTAAAAAAGTTTCTAGGAAATTTGTTCTTTCTCTTATTTTGTCTCTATTTTATTTTTAGATTTATTATTTTATTTAATTTTCGAGGCAGGGTCTCACCAAATTGTGAAATTGTTTCAGCTGGGTGAGAGATTGAGTGTTTCTCGTCTGCCTTCCAGAGTGCGAGGACTGCAGGCACTAGCCAGGTTTGTGTGTGTTTGTTTGTTTGCTTGATCTTTGAACATGTGTGATTGATTCAGTGACCTCTCCCCTTCCTTCCTCTCAGTTGTCACCAACATCCTGCCTCCTGCCAGGTCTTCGGTGTAATTATTGACACTTACTTTTTGAACCTGAGGACAGATGACAATAAGCTCAGAACAATCCAGACATTATCTATTTTAGTTTTTGTATATTTTAAATTGTAAAAAATTATTTCTCCATTACGAAATGTAAGGAAGAATGTGACAATACCAGTGGATTCAGAATGATCATTCAAGTGGCTTCTTTTTCCTTTTAATACATCTGATAATGTTAGCACTGGTACTGGGTCTGCAAAGAATAACACAAGAGTCCCTGCCTTTAGGTAATTAATGTATTACTGTCCCTGGGAAGCCAGGTCCTGATGTAGCGAGAAACCATATAGTCACTTCCTTGGGCCTGTTTTTGTGCCCTTGATGAAAGAATTCAGTAGGACCTTCATAGATATTGCAGAAGCATAGGTAGAATTTGTTGTAAAATCGAGAGCGTTATATGTTTAAGCGAGAAAGCAGACAATGCCATAAAGGCATGTGCCCCTGATTTAGATGAATTTTTATGCACTGAAAAATTACTCTGGGGCTTCAGAGAACTACTAAATTTATGGTGTTTATTAACATTTTGTTTAGAAGTTACTCTTGAATTCTAAAATGTTTTTCATCCTTTTCAGTTGGTCAATGTTTCCTCAAGGGCTTTCATCATTTTAGGAATTTACAAGAGGAAATTTGAGAAAGATAAGAAGCTAGTTTAAACCTCATCTCAGCTTCAGCAGGAAGGGCTTTAAGGAAAATACCATTGGACTGCAGCCCGGCAGTCAGGAATGCAGGAAGCCTTGCTCTGGAGCTAGATGCTCAGGTAGCCCCGAGTCAGAAGGAGTGAGTGTTCAGGTTGTATAACCTTAATGTGTCATTGTGTCACTGTCCTGTGTGGGGTTGCTTTGTGTGTGAGACCTAGCCAGTGATAAGAAGTATATTATGTATTGAAGTCTTTCTTTAGGTAACCCGCAGTACATGCCATTTGGGATTCTCTCGGCTCTTTTATCTCTCAGGCTCCCACTCATGTGTAACTACCTGCCCAGCCCAAATGTTTGCTGGACACTTGAACTGTGGACTTGAGCTTCGGTGTTTAGGTAGCCTTCAAATTGATCCCTGTTGGATCCAGAAGATGCTGTAGCTCTGAGATAGATTGTGAATTACTACTGTCTGCTCTTGCCCTTCCTGCTGGGTGGGCTTTTCCTTTGTGAAAAGCTTTCTATGAATAGCCCCATAGCCTGCTATCTCTGCATCCTGTATGACCCTTGCTTAAGTAGAAAATGAACAGTCCCCTCATTTCTTCTCCTTCCTTCTTGATGGTGTAAACAGCAAATCCTTGAATAAAATAAACTGAAGCAAATATTTAAGGCATGTAGATGAAGCACTGGTCACCGAGTAGACTTAACACATTTTGAGGGGGTATGGAGAAGAACCATACAAACATGTGGGTTTAAGTATCCTTTTCCTGGAGATCTTCATCTAGGGAAAAAATAGATGAATGTACGCCTAAACACATGCACGAATTTCTGTACCCGTCCATTTATATGTTCCTACAGATCGTGTTCCTTCATTCTGCCAACTCCTGGGTACTGATAAAGTTTCTATTTTCATTCAGCCCAAGGCAAGCACTCCTTTCTAAAGGTGAGAGCCTAGCATATCTATAAAGAGAAATGTGCAGTTGATTCTCCAGGGGACAGGATCTAGAAGTGGAAATACTTGTTGAGTTGAAAGATAAGGACAGCCAGCCCTGCAACTCCAAGGAATCTGGAATGTTCTGAGGAGCTCCTCTTAAAATGTAAATGACCTTAGGGTGAGTTAAGTTCAGCCTTCCCCTCACCTGGGTGTAAATTGCTTTCATCAAATAACTAGGTCTGCACAGCCCAAAGATCCATAGTCCTTAAGAAAAGGGAATCTTGATTAGGGAAGAGGGAGTCTGGTGGAGGGCTGAAGGCACCCAGTGTCCCTAACTCCAGCAAGGAGTGTGGAAGGAGGGCAAAATTATATCAGAAAGGGAAGCCAGGTTTGACAAAGGCAAAAGCAGGGCCCTGGGGCCTAGACAACACCACTAAATGTCAGGGCTTGATGGAATTTTAAGATTAAAGTGAAAAAGTAGTAACCTCCACTTCCATTTAGCCCAAGTGCTTTGTGCTGGTTTGGGTTTTGTTTTGTGCCTATAAAACTGAATTCCACTGCTTTGTCTCCATTCATTTTCTGCTCTTGTACTCTTCAGAGAAAAAGAACAAAGAGGGGAAACAAAAAAAAGTACAAAAGCTTCGTAGCATAGCACACCCACTCTCTCCCTACTATTATTATTAGACCAGTGTAATAAAAATAGTCACCACTTATTGAGACATTGTCACGCAACTGTTTTTTTTGGTTTTAACTTGAGGAAGCTGTGCCTTAAAGAGGACAATAATAGCTTTTTTTCCACTGTTGGAAGAAACTTCAGAAAAATTTATTTGACAAAATTCCGTGAAATATTTATGGTTGACCAAATCTGAAGGGCTCACTTTTTGTCCACTCAGGTTGGATGGACTAAATATTCCAGGCTTTGAGAGATAACAGATTTCACTTAATTATCTATAACATTTAGTACAGCAAGCAAGAATAAAAGGAATCAATTACTTTTAATGAAGAATATTTTGATTATCTTTTTTTTTTTTTTTTTCTGATACCGGAGATTCTGGAGATTGAACCCAGAACCCTGCCCTTCCAGGCAAGCACTTATTCTACTGAGCCATCTCCCCGGCCCTATTTTGAATATCTTGTAATGTGATGCAAGCCTGAGTTAAAGTAAGAGTTGTGACTTTATTGGGCATGGATATTATTCTAGATGCAAATTCACTAACTCACTCTTAGCATTTAAAGACTCTAAAACTTTAGTGGTCTATCCTGGACACCTGAGTTGTCAGTGACTTTCCCCTTACTCAAATCTGATTACAGATAGTAAGTGAGAGTACAAAAATTCTTGATTAGACTTGTGAAATTTCTGTTTTTTGCTTCTGGCTCCCCCTTCGAAGTTGGAATCACAGAAAATGTGAACGGGCTGAGGCAGCTCACCAGGGTGCAGCCCTAGCTGTGCCTGTTGGTACTTGTGCCTTTGCAGTGGCTTGGAGCCACTGGAATCTCCTGTCTGTCCTTTTGCATAGTAACCCCTGTCCTGTAATCAGGGTTTAAGGAGGGTGGGCGTGGTCCACACAAAATGTTTGGATCTTTTTGCAGTGCTGTTGCAACTGAAGATAATACTTCTAATTATTCATGAATCTCTCTCTAAAACGTTCTGAAGATACATTTATACTCTGGGAGCATTACCATTATATTTCAGTTTTAAATGATTAAACATTATTTTCTTTCGTTGCCTGTTGGAACCACTGCTAGTTTCTTTTGTTGGTCATCTTCCAAGTGACACTGATTTGGTGACAAGGTGCTGCTGTGTGCGGCACTCCACGTATGCTCTACCCGTGGTTGGAGGGACCCCCACTGCCGTTCACCAGTGTGTGGAGAAGAAGCAGACGTAATGGGGTTTTCAGTTTTGTGGCATCCTTTTCCTAATTTAAAAACATCATCATTTTTTAACAGTTGTTTCCTGTCACCATACAATCTTTCCAGGGCCTTTTTCTTTTCTTTTCATGTTCAGCATTTAAAAATAACAGCTGCCACTTACAAAGCTTTTATTCGATGCCAGTCACTGTGCCAAGGGCTCTGTTTTACTACACCAGTTGTTCTCCACAGCTGTAGTGGCAAATACTCTGCCCTATTGGTTTTTTCAGGCCACATGGGGGAACGCGGGAAAACAAACCAGAGCCTTTTCTTACTCCTGCCCCGTTGTGTACAGCTTGCTGTGGCTCTCTACTCTGAAGCATTTGTTTCCATCACTGGGGAGCTGTATTATCATAGTAGTCATGACAGATTTTAATTTACATGGGTGCTTACTTAAGTTTTGGTATGATTTTTGTTCTAGTCCAGAATTCCTCATAGGTTATACTCAACATGTTTAGTAGAGTTTGTATCAGTCTACTTAGGCTGATGTAATAAGATGCCACATGCTGAGTATCTTAAATAGCAGAACTAATTTTTCTCTTAGACTTGAAGACTAGAGTTGTTCTAGCAGGGTGCTGGCACAGTCAGTTTCTGATGACGTCTTTCTTCCTCGTTTGTAGGCAGTCACCTTCTCTCTGTGTCCTTGGGTGCCCTTTCCTCTGTGCAGAAAGAGAGAGCTAGCTTCAGTGTCCCTTGCTCTTTCAAGGACACTGGTACTATCAGATTAGGGTGCTAACCTTATGACTTCATTTAATTTTGAAGCACTATCTCTAAACACAGTCCCTTTAGGGATTATGGCTTCACATAAATTTAGAGGGGAGTGAGGTTCGCTCTGTACCATAGTCTATTTTGGTCAAAGCAAAGCCTCATCGTTTCCTCACAAGCTTGCCATTGATTACACACACGATCTGTACATTACTTGGAATGTATCCTTCCCATTCTTTGCTTTGCAGATTAGCTCCAGAAGAAACCTTATAGATGCCTTTGAGCAATTTATGAGACTTTGATACAATTCCTGAAGCTTTTGAGAAAACAAAAGTGCATGTGTATGATTTAAATTATATTTTATCTTTGTAAATATAATCTTTTATGCACATGATTGAATGCTTTTTGCAATTTTTAGCTTACATAGAGATTTGTAGTACTAAACAGTGTCGTAGC